GACAAAGTAATGCCTCTGCTTTTTAATATGCTGTCTAGGTTGGTCATAACTATCTTTCCAAGGAGTAAGCATCTTTTAATTTCATGGCTACAATTACCATCTGCCGTGATGTTGGAGCCCAGAAAAATAAAGTCAGTCACTGTTTCCACTGTCTCCCCATCTATTTCCCATGAGGTGATGGGACTGGATGCCATGATCTTAGTTTTCTGAATGTTGAGATTTAAGCCAACTTTTTCACTCTCCTCCTTCACTTTCATCAAAAGGCTTTTTATTTGTTCTTTACTTTCTGCCATAAGGGTTAGATTAAATCATTTGAGGATGAACCTTTCTTAAATTTTTAAATATTTTGAGTGAGAGACTTTATGAATCTCTATTAGTCCTTACAGATTCAGGTTTCAGTTCATACAAAGTCAGCCTCAGATGGAGACTCACTGTTTCCATTATTCTATTGGGAAGATGGCTGAGCTTAGTCGCTCAGTCGCGTCTGACTCTTTGAGAACCCAGGGACTGCAGCCCGCCAGGCTCCTCTGTCCATGGGGATTCTCCAGGCAAGAATACTGAAGTTGGTTTCCATGTCCTCCTCCAGGAGGAGGAGGGCAATATATATATATATATATATATATATATATAACTATATATATATAGTTGTTGCTGTCAGTCACTAAGTCACGTCCTACTCTTTGCAACCCCATGAACTGCAGTGCTGCAGGCTCCTCTATCCTCTATCTCCCAGAGTTTGCTCTGATGCATGTCCAATTGAGTCAGTGATGCTATCTAACCATCTCATCCTCTGCTGCCCCCTTCTCATTTTGCCTTCAATCTTTCTCAGAATCACGGTCTTTTCCAATGAGTTGGCTCTTCGCGTGAGGTGTCCAAAGTATTGGAGCTTCAGCTTCAGCATCAGCCCTTCCAATGAATACTCAGAATTGATCTCCTTTAGGATTGACGGGTTTGATCTCATTGCTGTCCAAGAGACTCTCAGGAGTCTTCTCCAGCACCACAATTGAAAGTATCAGTTCCTCAGCACTCAATCTTCTTTATGATCCAACTCTTACATCCATATGTGACCACTGAAAAAACCATAGCTTTGACTAGACAGACCTTTGTTGGCAAAGTAATGTCTCTGCTTTTTAATATGCTGTCTAGATTTGTCATAGCTTTCCTTCCAAGGAGCAAACATCTTTTTATTTCATGGCTGCAGCCACTATCCTCAGTGATTTTGGAGTCCAAGAAAATAAAATCTTTAAACTATGTGCATGTAAAAAATGAGTATATTTTAAAAATTACAAAGCGAAGAGAATCTACCATAAGTATGATATTTAATGATGAAACTTTAGAAGCATTTCCACTAAAGTCAGAAATCAATGGTGCCTGCTATTCAACATTGTAGTGGACTCTTAGCTATTACATTAAGACAAGGAAAAGAAATAAGAGCCAAATAGAATTGGAATGAAAGACAAAAAATGATTGCTCTTTGCAGAGAACATTATAAGCATAGATAGTCCAAAGTAATTTACTAATATGAGTGTGCAGCAAATTGCTAAATTTAAGAGCAAGTTAAAAAATCAATATTACTCCCCAATACAGGCAATAACCAACAAATAATAGTTATTAGAAAATATGATAGAACAAATTCTATGTAATGTGGTAACAGAAATTACTAGGTACATGGGAGTAAACCTGTGAAAAAGTGCTTGCTGCTCAGTTGCTTAGTCATGTCCGACTCTTTGCGGTACTATGGACTGTAACCCACCAGGCTCCTCTGTGGGAAGACATTTATGAAGAAAATTATTAAATATTGTTGGAGGACATGAAATAGATCTGAATAAACTTATAAATATGTCAATTCTCCCCCCAAATATTCTCTAAATTGAATGCTTTCAAATGAAAACTCAACAGAAATTTTTGTGGAACTAGACAAACTGATACCTAACCTCACAATTTCCAAAATGGTTTGAAAATAAGAACAAGAGGGAGGCTTGGTGGCTTTTTTTCCATACATTGAAATTTATTATAAAGCTTTAGACCATAAAACAGTGAAAGAACAGGGATAAAAAATAAAACAATGGAACAGACCAGAGACCCCAGAAATAGCACCATATACAGATTTTGAAACTTAATTTACTATACAGGTGACAGTGGGAATGGAGTACTCAATAAACTGAGAATTGATTTGTCACATGGGTAAAAAGTGAAGTTGATTCTTATCTCACACATACACAAAATAAATTCTAAATGGATTAAGACCTAGAAAATGAAAACCAAATGTTAAATGGATTAGAAAAAAATATGGGACCTCTCTGTTCTTGAGATAGGGAACACAAGTCACAAAAAGCAGAAATGACAAAAGAAAATACTGATTTCATTAAAATTTAAACTTTCTTTGTAAGAAATGATCCCATAAACAAAAGATAAGTGATAGATTAAAGAAGATATGCAATGTATCAGAATACATAAAATATTCATATCAGAACATGTCGAGATTTCCTACAAACTGAAAAGAAAAACCATCTAATCAAAAATTGTTCAGAGGATATAAACAACTCAAAAAACTCCAAACAACAAATAAACACATGGCAAGATACTCAAAATAATTAATAGTCAGAGAAATAGAAAATAAAAGCAACATGAGATGCTATTTCATATATATCAAATTGGTGAAAATGAAAAAATCTGACTGTGACAATGATGGAAAATTCAAATGCAACTGATGGGAGACTAAATCAGCACAACACATTTAGAGACAAAATTTAAGATATGGACCTCTCTAATTGACAATTTATACATTGTATGGTCCAATAACACTTACATCAAGCATATACATCTGTATGTACACCTGAGAGGAATTGTCACATATGAACATAAGGACACATATATAAAGAATGTTAATTGTAGCATTAAAAATTAAATAGCTAAAAAAGCTGAAAATAACCTAAAATCATAACAAAATGCATTATATTCACATACTTCAATAGTGTGTATGAGAAACTGAATAAACTAGATCAATGTATTACCATAGGCAGATCTAAAAAATAAAGTGGAATTTAATAAGCAAGTTCCAGAATGGTACCTATAGTTTGATATCATATGTTTAACTATATATAATTTTAAATGAATACATCGAGAAATGAATGGGAGTAAGAAGATGGAGACAAACAGTTTGAGTTTCGCTGTCAAAGGGAAGAGACTGTAATAGCTGGAAGTGAGCCGGTTATGTATATGTTTTGGAAATGCATAACACTAGAGTTTGTTTATCTGAAAATGGGAATGATCCAGCAGAGAGACTTAAAAAAGATTATTGCCAAAGAACAAAATCTGTGCGAAGTTAGGGTTTGGGCTGCACAGCACAAAAGGAAGATGCTAACCTATTTTAGGTGAGGAATGGTGTGTTTGAACCGTGAAGGATGAGCTGGAGATGAATGTGCAGGCTGTGTAGGATGGAGGCGAGTCAAGAAGGGACCTTAATTGGATACATGGGTGGACGGATGACACTACACAGGGGGGTCTGGTTTGATTAAAAGGCAAGACAAGCGGCCCTCTGGTATGATGATGGGCCCCGGCCTTTCTGAGGGTAGTAAAGGATGCTGTTGTCACTCCTAAGGAACTTCTGCTCTGGAGTCCTGGTAATCCACCTCCTCTATGTACTAAAAATAAAATGAATTCCACAACCAGTACCACTGCTCCTTACACTTTCTCCACTGCACTGTCAGCTTCCTCTGGGCCCTGGTGGTTTATTTTTATTTGCACCGGTGCCTCTCACGGATGTTAGTAAAGGCCGCTCTGGGAAAAGCTCTGGGTCTAGTCCTGCCTCCACTGCTTCACTAGTTCTGTGATTTTCTAGAGCGAGTCCTGTAACTTCCACCACCTCAGTTTTCTGCCTCCCAGGGTGGTTAGCTGCCTTGAGGTGACCGCTGGTAAAAGCCTCCGGAAAGCCTGGAGGCGAAGCCCTCCCCTGGACCCCAGTTCTCCAGGACTGACTCGTCCCTCCCCTCTGTCTCCCGCCGGGCCGCTGCCTCCTCTCCACCCACAGCCTCGCCTTTATTTTCTTTCCGCCTTTATGGCTCCAAGTTTCCACCCAAGCCTGCGGTCAGACGTCGCCGCCGACGGCCAAGGGCTCCGTCTGGGGCCCTGCGTCGCCCACCTGGCCACCCTTGGGGGGCAAACTGGGGGACAGGGACCCACCAGCGCTGCCGGCCTCAGGGTCCCCGGTAGGTGGGCGGCTACCACCCATCCCCTGGGCGTGCACCTGTCTCGGGAGACAGTCCGACGGTTCCAGGCGCGAGCCAAGGTGAGGCTGTCTGTCCGCGGGTCCCCCCGGCCGGCGAGCGCTCGCCACGTCGTCCGCTCCTCTGGCTCCCTGTCTGGGGTCCCTCTGCCCCTCTGTCCCTCCTCCCCGCCCCCCCTCCCCCAGCCTCTTTGGGCCCCGCGGTTGGTCGCTTACGGGTGTCACTCCGCCCTCCCGGCGGGAGCCACCGGGCGCGGAGGGGCCGCTGCTCGCGGATGCGAGCGCATAAAACCAGCCGGGGCGTGTGGGCTCAGCTGCGTTTTCCAGCGACTCCTCTGGCCAGGAGCGCTCCCGCAAACAGGCTTAGGGGCACCCGCTTTCTGCTTCCAGGACAGTTTGGAGAAAGTGGATTTGAGGTGCATTTGGGAGTGGTGCCAGCTCCCCCAGCCTTCTTACCCTTCCAGAAGGCTCGCTTTGCACAGCCTCGCCCATTCTCCCCTTCCTGACTCCTTGGCTCCCGGGTTCCCTCTCCGCTCTCTAGGCTCAGCATCTTCTTCCTTACCTCACTCTTCCTCATCCTCTCTATCCCTGCCCTCTTAACTCCTGCCACACAGTCTCAGCCTCCTCCTGGTCATCCCACCCTTCCCCTTTCTTCCATCTTTAACCTCCCGCCTACTCCGTCTCATTCCTCCGGCCTGTCTGCTTGTGCTCACACTCTGCATCCATCCCCGCCTCCCCACCTCCCCGCCTGCTTCTCTGGCAGCAAACTTCCACCATGGATTCCAGGCCTCCTCGGACGGCTGCTCCGAGCCCGGGGAGCCCCCTCTCTGCCGCCAATGCCACCACACCCTGGCTGGGCCGGGATGAGGAGCTGGCCAAGGTGGAGATCGGCGTCCTGGCCACCGTCCTGGCGCTGGCCACAGGGGGCAACCTGACGGTGCTGCTGACGGTGGGTCGGCCGGTCCGCAAGCGCTCCCGCATGCAGGTGTTCGTGCTGCACCTGGCCCTGACCGACCTGGGCGTGGCGCTCTTCCAGGTGCTGCCCCAGCTGCTGTGGGACATCACCTACCGCTTCCGGGGCCCCGACCCGCTCTGCCGGGCCATCAAGTACCTGCAGGTGCTGAGCATGTTTGCTTCCACCTACATGCTGCTGGCCATGACGCTGGACCGCTACCTGGCCATCTGTCACCCCCTGCGCAGCCTCCAGCAGCCCAGCCGGTCCACCTACCCGCTCATCGCAGCCCCCTGGCTGCTGGCGGCCGTCCTCAGCCTCCCTCAAGTCTTTATTTTTTCCGTACGAGAGGTGATCCAGGGCTCTGGAGTGCTGGACTGCTGGGCAGACTTCCGCTTCCCTTGGGGGCCACGGGCCTACATCACCTGGACCACCCTGGCCATCTTCATCCTGCCGGTGACCATGCTCACAGCCTGCTACAGCCTCATCTGCCACGAAATCTGCAAGAACCTCAAAGTCAAGATGGAGGCTGGGCAGGCCGAAGGAGGGAGCTGGGGCACGGGGAACAGGCCATCCGCTCCTCGTGGTCCAGTTGCAGCCACACGGGGGCTGCCGTCCAGGGTTAGCAGCGTCAGCACCATCTCGCGGGCCAAGATCCGAACTGTGAAGATGACCTTGGTCATTGTGCTGGCCTATATCGCCTGCTGGGCGCCTTTCTTCAGTGTCCAGATGTGGTCTGTGTGGGATGAGAATGCCCCCAATGAAGGCAAGTGTGTGGTCTGGTTGGGAAGGTAGAGGTGGGAGCATGAGGCAGAAAAATGCAGAGAAGAGAGAAGGAGGGTATTAGGACAGGGTCACAGTGGCTCCCGGAGCCAGGCAGGTAACAAATGGGTGAAGCAGTTAAAGATGGTGCCTGTCCTGGAGTGAAAAGGGACAGTTCTAGTATACATTCATTTTGAATGGTTTCTATCAATCCTTTCGAAGCCGTTTGAAGATCTCATTTAGTATTATGTGCATGTTACTCACTCAGTCATGTCTTACTCTTTGTGACCCCATGGACTGTAGCCCAACAGGCTCCTCCGTCCTTGGGATTTTCCAGGCCAGAATACTGGAGCGGGTTGCCATTTCCTTCTCCAGGGGGTCTCCCCGACCTAGGGATTGAACCCGGGTCTCCCACATTGCAGGCAGAGTCTTTACCATCTGAGCCTCCTTCCCAGTGGCGCTAGTGGTAAAGAACCCGTTTGCCAATGCAGGAGACTTAAGAGACGTGGGTTTGATCCCTGGGTTGGGAAGATACCCTGGAGAAGGGCATGGCAACCCACTCCAGTATTCTAGCCTGGAGAATCCCATGGACAGAGGAGCCTGGGGGGCTACAGTCCACAGGGTGGTACAGAGTCGGACACGACTGAAGTGACTTAGCACAGCATGGCATAGTGGCTGCCAGGGTCAGGCAGGTAACAAATGGGTGAAGCAATGAAGACGGTGCCTGTACCGGTGTGAAAAGGGACAGCTGTAACTCCCATCCAGTCAAAACGTGCCATGTGAGTATCTTTAATGTGAAATTTCCATATTTTACAATTCTGGCAACTAATTTAATCATTTTAAAATATTATTTGGCCCTAATGAATATATGACTGTGAGTAGATTTGGCCAAGCAACTGACAGTTTGCTAGACTGTTTGAAAGGGATTTTCAAATGATTTGGTCCAGATGGCAGTTTGTGGCCCATGAAGTGTGTCTCTCGGCACTCTTCCCCCCCTGCACCTGAACAAGACTTTGAACTCCTTTTCAACAGCCATTTTCAATTAATTAACCCTGGGGCACAACCCTGAAATTCCAAGTTCAACCCTGTTGTTTTTTTAATGAGAAAGCAGAGGCTCAGGGAGGAAACCTGACCTGCCCAAGGACACACAGCTAGGAAGTAGCGAAGTGACGAATAGAACCTAGGCCTGGAATCTCCTTGTTTCTTTTCTCAACTCCATGCCCCCACTTTCCAAATTCTAGCTCTGGAAGTGATGAAGAGAAGGGCCTTCCTCCTACGTGAAAAACAAAATGGGACCTTCCAAGAGGACTGTGTTCCAGTTGGGATGTGGGGGGCCTGATTGGGGTCATTTTTTGGAGTGAGATAGATGGCAGCCTTCTAAGTTTCAGATACTGCCAACTGGTCAGGCCATTTGGGGATGAGCTTGTCCTGAGAAAGGTAAATGCTGTTTCTGGGCAGCCAAAATGCTGGAGAAAAAGTTTGAAAGTTTAGTCCCTCAGTCGTGTCCGACTCTTTGCGACCCCATGGACTGGAACCTACCAGGCTCCTCTGTCCATGGGATTTTCCGGGAGAGAATACTGGATTGTGTTGCCATTTCCTTCAGAGGGTTTTCCTGACCCAGGGATCAAACCTGGGTCTCCCACATTGTAGGCAGACGCTTTACCGTTTGAGCCACCAGGAAAGTCCTAAAATGCTGGGGAGGTATTCAAAGGCATCTGTTCCTGCCCCCCTAGGAAGAGGCGGCTGGGGACAAGTGTGCAGTCACCTGTCAGGGTGACTGTGTGCTCCGTAGTAGAGAGGACACTTTATGCACAGCCTGGGGTATGTGATGGGTGCAGCACGTGACTGCCCCAGGGGCGCCCTGTCTTCTCTGCAAGTTTCCTGAGGATTCACTGACCAGCAGACCCAGACTGCCACTTCCTACCAGCTCTTAGAGTGATCCCCTCCCCTGTGCCATTGTTTCTAATCTCAACCTGCTCATCCTAGGGCATGCTCAAGCCAAACACTTTGCTTTTCTGGAAAGATGAAGTAAGGGGAACGTTGTTCATGACATTAACGCAACTCTGCAAGAGAGTTCAGCAGGATTCTTGTTGATGTATGGCAGAAACCAACACAATATTGTAAAGCAATTATCCTTCAATTAAAAATAATTTTTTTTAAAGCTAAAAAAAAAAAGAGAGAGTTCAGCAGTACTGAATTATAACAGTCCCATTGCACCCCTTCTTAACCACCTTTCACACACTAGTGTGGACCAGAGGCTATTTATAAAATTAACCTTTAAGCAATGAGCATATTACCCCTAACCTGCTCTAGGGACCCCCACCCCCACCCCTGGTCAAACACAGAATAAAAGGAAGGAGGCTTTCTATGTGCCAAGCATATTTAGGCCTTGTGCTACTTAGGGGTGACCTTCTCCCCTTGACATCAAAGTAACCTGAGCTTTAGAGAGGTGAAATAACTGGTCTAAGTTGCCACTTCTAGTAAGAGATGGAGCTAAGAATTGAATCAAGGTCTTTTTAGGCCAAACTTTATCCAAACTTTTATTGTTGTCTTATTCCCAACAATCATAGCTGAGCTGATGGCACCAGGGATGAGAAGGCCCTTTATCAAGGAACTTACGAGAAGCTTTCTTGCTTGCCTGCTATAGTCACCACTGTCATCAACCTGTCCTTCAGACCCATACATACAGTGACTTATCACTTATCAAGGGCCTCTCCGAGTAAGCATTACAGGAACCAAGTGTCCCTCAGAAAAGCGGAAGCCCTTCGGGGACTCTGAGTTGAGCAGACACTCACTACTTTAAACTTACTTTCCAGTACACCCAGTTTCCCTCCACGACATGCTGGCCTCCTGGCCGCTTGTCCCCGAGTCTTTGGCAGGAAGCTGTCTCCTTGCCCTTGCCCCTGCCCCTTACCATCATTGGAGCTTCTGCCAGGCCACGCGGCAGCAGCTGCCCGTGACTAGTAGCAGGTCTGCCCTCCAGGACTGAGCTGCAGCCTCCGAAGATTCCAGGGCTCCAGGTGCATCTCGAGCCCCTCCCTGGGCCTGGCTCCGGGCTTCCCGGAGCTTCCCAAGTGAAGAAACCTGTGGAAACCCTCAGCCTCTGGCCTAGTCTAGGCACTATACATATCTTGATGGAGCAGATGGGATGAATACCACCCCTTAGCCAAAGCAACTTCCCAAATGTTCTGCAGCCCCTGGGTATTCGGTTAACTGGGGCGCAGGCCAGAAGCCTTCATGCTTCAGGAGCCTGTGTTTGTTGCTGAGGCTGGCCCCCCTTGCTCCCTCCTTGCTCTCACTTCCGTGCTGCTCTGTGCTTCCCAGTTCTGTGGTTCATGCCTTCTCTCTGACATCCTGACCTGTGTCTCCCCTTCCCCTGGGCTTCCACACTGGAGGGCACCCAAGGGGCCAGCGTACTGGAAGCTTTCACGGTGCTTTGCAGAGGAGGCACTTGAGCTTTGCCTTTGAGTCCACTGGTTGAAATGGTGGCAGGGTGCAGAATTGCTGCTTGAAAGAGGGAAGACCTAGGTTCAAGTCTGTGCCATAACCCCTAAATCCTTCCAGCTCTGACATGGCACTCAGGGATTCTACAGCCTCCACTAAAGAGCTGGGCAACTCAGGGTGCAGCCCATGCCATAGCTTAGCCATGGTGCATCTGGCAGAAGGCTGGGGCCCATCCCAGCATCTTTCCTGATGGCACGAGAAGTTTCGTTTAGTTTTCAGAAAGAGTATTGTATCTGGAAGGAATCTTATCAGAGTCTCTGAAGGCTTGCATTTTGACTGTGCAGGAGAGAAATTAGCTTTCCCTGCAGAAGAGACATTCTCTGGATGTCATTTCTGACGACAGAGAGCAAGTACTGGCCGGGAATGAGATGCAGGGATGCCCTGTACCTGGAAGCTGCACAGTTGGAGGTGGCGTCACGGGACCTGTAGGGCTGTCAGGCTCCACTGGTTGCCTCCCAGGTCCCCAGCACGGGCCTGGCACAGTCGGTACTCACACGGACAATAACTGAATGTCTGGGACAGACCCTAAAAGGTCAAGGAACACAGCACTCAGAGTGCAGTGTGTACCCGTATCTATGACATGAGTGGGAACGCAGGTGTGCCCGAACTTGGCTAGAATCATGGTTATTTTTCCTGCAGGTTTTATAGAAATTGCCTCCCCCGTGCTCAGCATCCATTAGGGGATTCACAATTCAAGATTCGGAGCAAAGATCCGATTCGGGCTGACTCTGTCTGTGTCTCCAAAGTCAGCTGAGAGTGAGCCTCAGCTCCTGTCATCACCCTGTGGCACAAGATGAATGAATAAACCAGTGAGGCAAAACCCTGGAGTCAGGAGTCCCAGGTTTGAGTCCCAGCCGTGATCCTTTCTGATTATAGAACCCCTTGTGGTCCTCCTTGGGATTCAGCTTCCTCCTCTGTTCTGTAGGGAGCAAGGCTCTCTCCCAGGTCCCTTCCAGCTCTGAAATCCTTGTGTTTCTCCCCCGGCAGATTCAACCAATGTGGCTTTCACCATCTCCATGCTTTTGGGCAACCTCAGCAGCTGCTGCAACCCCTGGATCTACATGGGCTTCAACAGCCACCTGTGGCTGCATGCCCTGCGCCGTCTGGCCTGCTGCGGAGGCGCCAGGCCCGGGATGCGCAGGCGGCTCTCCAACGGCAGTCTGTCCAGCCGCCACGCCACCCTGCTGACCCGCTCCAGTGGCCCGCCTGCCCGCGGCCTCAGCCCCGGACTCAGCAGGAGGCCAGGGCCCAAAGACTCCCTGCGGGGCGCAGAGCAGGTGGATGGTGATCCTGCCACTGAGACCAGTGCCCTTTAGGGAGCACTCCCCAGAGTCTGGCGGAGGATCTCTGCCCATCTCAGCAATGCCCAGCCTGATGCTCTCCATGGTCTTTTTCAGTTATAACCTTTCATGACTTTGCAAGATTGGAGAAGCGTTCTCTAAGGACACCCTAACCAATGGGCTCTAGAGGAATTGTTGGGTTTTCATGACAATGACACTTATGCCCTTTGACTCAGCTTGAGGCAGGGTGAGGAGGACAGAAAGGCCTCTCCTATCTTTGGAGTCATAGCGGCCCGCCCAACCTCACGTGCTGAGAGGGAGACTCAGGCTGTCTGCTTCCTTGATCCTGCTGTATTCACAGCGGCCTGGGGACCACGTGTGTGGTAGATGTGGTGCTGCAGATCCGGGCTGTCCTGCCTGGGGGTCCACAGGCAGCAGGGATTCAAAGGCTGGTATCTTATCTTGTTTGTCTCAGCCTAATCTGACTAGTGCGTCCCAGTTCAGCCAGAAGAGGGAAGGAGTGAATGACTGCAAGGCGGACCCCATTTGAATCCTGAGATGGGTGTGTGGGAGGGGTGTTGGTAGAGAGAGGCGTGCTTAATGAAGAGAAGTGAACGGGTGTGGGGGCGTCGCCTCCTATACTAAGGGGATGAGGGTTAGCACAGCACTTGGTAACTGGTAAAAACTCTGTAAATGCTGCTTTTCTTCTCCCAAACACCCTCATTTACAGTTAGGATGGGTGACGAGGCAAAGTACTGCGTATTCTCAGTGGGATGGCCCACTGGGCTGAGTGTGGGAAGAATGAGTAAGGAGAGAAGGAGATGAAAATGGTCACCAAATTCTGAGTGGGAGGAAGTCTTGGAAGCAGCAGGGATTGGTCGCACACCCCTCTCCGTTCACGGGGTCCATGTGGCTCCTGCCTCTTGGGCTGCATGGAGGGGACATCCTTTGAGAAAGCGTGACTTAATCGTGGCTCTGGATTTGTTTGAGGCTCTTCAGAGCTTCCACACAAATCACATGCTTGCCACAATCAAGTCAGGAGCCCAGGATGGGAAACCTGGCTCTGCCTGGTGGTATCTGTACAACCTTGGGAACTTACCTCCCTCTCTGGACCTCAGCTCCTTGTCTGCAGAATAGAGATGCTCTCTAAGATCTTTTCCCAGCTCAAACCTTTCATGACTTGCAAGACTGGAGAAGAGCTTTCTAAAGACTTCCTAACCTATAAGCTCTAGAAGAATTGTTGAATTTTCATGATAGTGACATTTATGCTATTTGACTCAATTCTGGTGTCTGTGGGTCCTGCTACGGCTGTACTGTCCACCTTTGCCAGCTGTTCAGCTCAGTCATTCAGTCATGTCCGACTCTTTGTGACCCCATGGACTGCAGCACGCTAGCCTCCGTGTCTATCACCAACTCCTGGAGCTTGTGCAAACTCATGTCCATCGAGTCGGTGATGCCATCCAACCATCTCATCCTCTGTCGTTCCCTTCTCCTCCCACCTTCGATCTTTCCCAGCATCAGGATCTTTTCAAATGAGTCAGTTCTTTGCATCAGGTGGCCAAAGTATTGGGGCTTCAGCTTCAGCATCAGTCCTTACAATGAATATCCAGGACTGATCTCCTTTAGGTTGGACTGGTTGCTTTCCAAGGGACTCTCAAGAGTCTTCTCCAACACCACAGTTCAAAAGTGTCAGTTGCCAGCAGTTACATGATGCTAATGCCAAGAGAGCCTGGCAGGTGGAAGCTGGGACTTTGTCCTGCTCCTCATTATCTCCAGTGGCATTTTTACCTCGGAATAACCTCCCCTCCATGATTCTGGTTTTAATCCAAGTGATGGTCTTGGTGGTGGAAAGAGCCTAGCTGAAGTCAGGCCCTGGTCCTACCACCATGATGCCGCCAGTGACCTTGCTCTCTTCACTGTGTGTTTAGTCGCTCAGTTGTGTCCGACTCTTTGTGACCCCGTGGTCTGTAGCCTGCCAGGATCTGCTGTCCATGGGATTCTCCAGGCAAGAATACTGGAGTGGGTTACTGTGCTCTCCTCCAAGGGATCTTCTCAACCCTGGGATTGAACCCAGGTCTCCTGCATTGCAGGAAGATTCTTTACAATCTGAGCCACCAGGGAAGCCCAAGAATACTGGAGTGGGTAGCCTATCCCTTCTCCAGGGGAACTTCCCGACCCAGGGATTGAACTGGGATCTCCTGCACTGCAGGAAGATTCTTTACCAGCTGAGCTACCAAGGAAGCTCTCTTCGTATGAGGGTCAAATAGAACTGTGGGTATGTAGGCAGTTTGTAAACCCATGAACTTCTAAACCCATGAAGCTATACTACTGGAGGGATTGCTAATCTAATTAAGAGCTCTTGAGAGCAGCACTAGGGAATAGAGTCACTCTCTGCCCTCCACTCCTAGGGAAGCTTTGAGGGGTGACCGTGGCTTTGGGGATACACTTCTTTAAGATGCCTCTTAGCTCTAAGAAGTCTCCTTAGGCCTCCTTAAGAGACAAGAACTAAGCTGAGTGTCATGAGTGAGCAAAGCATCCCAGCCTTTCAGCACTAGACAACTGGAAACTGGGATGCAGGCCCTGATGGGATCAAGGCTCAGGGCAGATGTGGGAACCCACTATCTCTCTTCACTGCAGCCCTTGACATCCAGCTGTTTCTTCCCAGTACGTCTGTCCCATGGAGCTGAGCTTATGAACCTCACACGCCAGCCTGAGCTTTTGAAGTTGCTCCTCCCTCTGTTGACATAAGCCATCCTCACCTCAGACCACAGTTTCTGACCCTAGTGCCACAGTAGATGTTAAGTAAATCTTCACTCATCACCACAACTGGGAGGTAGAAGGGATACTGGCCTTGTAACCCAAACCTGGTTTTGAGTCCTGATCTCACCTCTTTTCTACCTGTATGAACTTGGGCAAGTTATCTAATCTCTCTGAGCAAGCGGCACCTCATTTGTTAAATAGAAGTAACAACGTCTGCCTTGTGGGAGGCATTTGCGAGGCTGTAGACTGTACGACATTCTACTGATGCCAGAGAGGGTGGTGGCCTGGCTCTGGATCGCATCCCATGCACGGCTTCCAGGGCACTGGGCCCAGGAGACTCTACGGTAGAGAGGAGAGAAGAGACCTGGAATCAAGGTTGGCCAGGGCCCCTCCCACACCCACTTTGCGCTTTCTGTAGCTTGCTTGCTTGCTTGTTTGTGAAGTCTCTCTGTCGTGTCCGACTCTTTGCGACCCCATGGACTGTAACCCACCAGATTCCTCCATCCATGGGATTTTCCAGGCAAGAGTACTGGAGTAGGTTGCCATTTCCTTCTCCAGGGGATCTTCCCGACCCAGGGATCGAACTTCGGTCTCCCACATTGTAGGCAGACACTTTACCATCTGAGCCACCAGGGAAGTCCTTCTATAGCAAGGAGTAGCAAATAATCCCACTATTATATTTCCAGCTTTCCTTTACACAAGGGGGATTTACTTGTGATGGTGGCTTGGGACCCTCACTCTTTCTCCCATGGAAAGGTTGCACTTGATCTTTTCCAGAAATCTGGTGCTGTTCTGTGATGAGGCCAGTGGGGAACAGCTGGACACCAGGTTGGGAGCCTCAGGAATCTATTCCAGGAGGCCCCTGAAGGAAATGGCAGGATGATGTCTGGATCTCTGATTGATGTCTTTTGCAGTCTGTGTGTATGGAAAAGGAAATGGCAACCCACTCCAGTTCTCTTGCCTGGAAATCCCATGAACGGAGGAGCCTGGTAGGTTACAGTCCATGGGGTTGTGAAGAGTTGGACACAACTGAGCGACTTCACTTTCACTTTTCACTTTCATGCATTGGAGAAGGAAATAGCAACCCACTCCAGTGTTCTTGCCTGGAGAATCCTAGGGACGGGGGAGCCTGGTGGGCTGCTGCCTATGGGGTCGCAGAGTCAGACACGGTTGAAGTGACGTAGCAGCAGCAGCAGCAGCTGTGTAGGAAGCTCTCCTAAGCATTCGGAGACAGCAGTAGGGTCTTGGGTAGGGTCCAGGAAGGTGGGTCACCATGGGAAGCAAGAAGGAGTTCCCATGCTGTCTGTTGTTAAGTCTGTAAGTCATGTCTCACTCTTTGTGACCCCATGGACTGAAGCACGTAAGGCTTCCCTGTCCTCCACCATCTCCCAGAGCTTGCTCAGACTCGTGGCCATTGAGTCAGTGATGCAATCCAACCATCTCATCCTCTGTCATCCCCTTCTCCTACCCTCCATCTTTCCCAGCATCAGGGTCTTTTCCAATGAGTCGGCTCTTCACATGAGGTGGCCAAAGTATTGGAGTTTCATCTTCAGCATCAGTCCTTCCAATGAATATTCAGGATTGACTTTCTTTAGGATTGACAGGTTTGACCTCCTTGCAGCCCAAAGAACTCTCAAGAGTTTTCTTCAGCACCACAATTCAAATGCGTCAGTTCTTCGGTGCTCTCTGGGTCAATCTCATTTCTGACAGCCCACCCCAGGAGAAATTGAGCTGTACTGTCCCCGGGCTGAGCACCTTTGTGAATTGTTTATGCCGTCCTGTGGACTCTATGAATTACTGTACTTCAGTCCTGTGAGCCCGTGTGGAGGTAGAGGTCTGGGGGCGGGCGGGCAGGGGAGTGTGGGGTGGGCAGGGCTGAGCATGGCAGGAGGTTAATTGCTGGACTGCAGGCATTTCTCAGAATGTTTTTATATGTTGTTTTGTCTATGTCAGTACTTTTCTAGATGACTTTGCGTTTCGTATGTAATAGATATTCCTATCTATTGAGGAGCTATTATCTCCGTGTAGGCCATAACAACTAACTCCTGAGTCCAGAACCCAAAGATGTGATTGAAATTGGCCAATAAAGCTGCTTGATAACCAGCAAATTTCCAGTCACCTTTGCTTCCTACGGGCAATGACAGTGAGATATGTGAGCTAAAATAAAACTGTGATAGCTTTGAGCAGATCAGGGGCAGGGGAAATGTCGAGGTGTGGTGAGCCACCTTCCGGGTGCCCCTCACCCACTTAAAGCGGAAAGAAGACAAGTGACCTGG